AGAACTCCAGCGAAAGTCAAGGCCGTCCGGGAGAAAGTCAGGCGAAATGCTCATCGTTCCATGAAAAAGATGTCAGATGACATGGATATCTCCTATACATCAATGAGGAGAATTGTCAGAAAAGAGCTGAAGATGACCTCTTATCGAGCAACAAAAGCTGCTATTCTATCCCAAGCCAATAAGGAGAAACGGCTCATCAAAGCGAAGCGCCTTCTCGCTGGCACGCGCAAAAAGGATCATCTTATCACCATCTTCTCGGACGAGAAACTCTTCAGTGTCGAGGCTGAATTTAATAGCCAAAACCACCGAGTGCTGGCCACAAATATTCAACAAGCAGCTGAGCGTGGTAAAACAATCCATCAAGCCTCTCATCCTGCGAGCATCATGGTTTTCGGAGCGGTTTGCTATGATGGGAAGTGTCCGCTTGTTTTCGTTGATAAAGGCGTGAAAATCAACCAAAAATACTACGTTGAGGAGATTCTGGAGAAGCATGTGCTACCGTGGGCTCAAAACCACTTCGGTCAGAAGAAATACATCTTCCAGCAAGATGGAGCGCCTGCTCATACCGCAAAAATGGCTCAACAGTGGTGCAAGGACCACTTCCCCGCCTTCATACAAAGGACGAATGGCCGGCTTCGTCGCCTGATCTGAACCCGCTCGACTACTCCGTATGGGGAGTTCTGCAGAATAAGGTCTGCGCAAGACCTCATGCAAATATCGAGGCCCTGAAGAAGTCGTTGTCTGAGGAATGGGACAAATTATCCGTCGAATACCTGCGTGCCACCATTGATGCCTTCCCTCGACGACTTCGTGCCGTGGTCGCTGCCAAAGGAGGTAGAATCGAATAATTTTGTTGAATTATGATTTCAAGCGTTGAAATAAACTATCTGTTAAATTTCGTCTTAATCTCGCATCTACTTCTGGAGATAACGTCATCTACACTTGCACACGTAATTTTGGCGGACCCTGTATTGAGGTTCAGAAACAGATAAAAAAGTTCCACTCAACTTTTAATCAACTTCTAGACATTCTAAATCACCTATTCAATTCCCAAAAAAGGTATTTACAACCATACAATCAACTCGAAAAAAATTGAAAAAAAGACGAAATTCGGTATGAATGTTTTATTGCGGAAATCGGATAAGGCTTTTTCAAGAGGACTTATCAGAAAAAGCATATTTGAAAACCCTAAAATAGTTTTTCTAGTCTGAAATCCATCCATTCGCCCGTATTACAACACTTTCGAAATGTCTCACTTTTGAATTGTCACGCTTTCGAAACGTCCGCTGCCGAAATGTCCCGGAGAATAGGGAAATCGGAAGGCAGTGTACCTCTGAATGTCATTGGGTGAATGATAGCGAAAAAGACCCACAATTGGAATATCAAAAGTTATAAACTCAAGGTTTACAAATGCTGAAGCTGAAACATGATTTTATATTATTTTTGCTCTCCTCATTGTCAGGCAAATAAAAGTTTATGAATGTTTCTCTTTTCTATCGCAACTTTAAAAAAACTCCATTCTGATACAACAGAAAGTTTTTCAGTTTTTTTTCCAGATAAACTAGACTCATTAAAACTAATCAAAACGTTACGATTACAATAAGGTCCAGAAACAGAAAAAGAAGTTCGACTCAACTTTTAATCAACTGCCAGACACTCGAAGCCACCTATACAACTCCAAAAAAAAGAGAAATTTACAACCTAAAAAACGTCACATGCTTCTAGGAATGTCATACAGAAGACGTATTCAAATCTCAAAACGAA